TTTAACTAAATATTGAATATGTATTTAAAATTTTGCTGTACAATTACATTGACCTAACACTTCTTTTCAGCCAAATAATCAAATAAAATATTTTATACCACCTATTCCTAAGGCACGCCGGCCTATAAGAGACATTAGTATAACTGAACCAAACAGTACTTATGTTTCTAAAAATTCTGAAAATTTATTGTTAAAAACAACTATGTACAACACTAAGCGACAAAGTCAAGAATTTAATATTTCTAACACTGATGTTCCATATACTGATGATGAAGATGATGAAGATGATGAGGATGATGAAGACAGTGATAATGTAGACAGTAGTGCAAATACATTATCAAATAGTTTCTGCATAGACTCTTTTAATACTTCACGCAATTCCTCTAGTACAATACATAAACGAAGCTTTAATAGTTCAAATAGAAGCCGGTTTGTTACTCCTGCTAATAGTTCATCTAATTCACACAGAGTACAAAGTCAACCTGCTAAAGGATCTATAAAATATTACTTGCCTTTATGTATTGCTATCTGTATTATCTCTCTTATTGTTTTCCTATGTGTACAAGAAGTACTTCACGAAGATGAAATAGATAAAAAAACTGAAATAGAAAGTAGTTCTTCAAAAAAATTAAATTTAGTTGAAATAGATAAGATATTAGATAAATCAATGGAAACAATTCAGAACCGATTTCATAATCAAAAGGCCACCATTTGGAATGATATATCATCTGGAATATACAATGTAAATTTATTTCCTACAAAGCCTACAATTGTCATTTTATTTGGAAATGAAACTGACACCTTGAATTGCTTAGCTCAATTACTTGGACAGCTGAGTGGTACAATTTTAGGTAGCAATGATTATTTAATATTAACACCAAAAGACTTTCCAAAGGATGTTGGACAAACCATTCATAATTTAAAAATGAAAATCATAGAAAAGAAGTCAGTAGTGAGTATTTACATGATTTTGTTTTTTTTTTTAAATAAAAATATATGTTGGACTTAAAAGCAGTTATTCTATTAAGAAGAAATGTTTTCTAGATAGTACAGGATCTGTTGAGCATAAACACAGAGGCCATAAAAGCATTTCACAATTTCTGTGATAGAGAAAAGCCTTTAGTTGAGTATGCTGTATATATAATAACAGTGATTGTTGATGGGTACAAATCAGCACAAAGGGAATTAGAGTTTATTGAAAAGCAAATATTTAAGAGATTATCATCTCACATAGATAAGGATATTTTAGATCCATTAATAACTAGACTCACAGATGGAATTATAGTACCAGTCTTACCAGAATCTGGCATGAATTTCAATTCTGCAGAATGTTCTTTTTCTGCAGATAATAAACTGTGATTCTTTGTAATTAACTAGCACAATATTTTGATAATATGATAGTTTACAAATATGAGAAGTAACATGTTTGACTTTACTAATGTGAAGCATTATATGCAGTATTTATATTATTTATGTATTGAATAATATTAAGTAAATAAAAATTTGTGTGTATTAATATTCAACTTTATTTTGTTATGTCAAATGACAGTACAGAAAATCAACATTTTTAGATAAAGATTTCCAATGATGATTTGGCAGTTACTACAAATTTTCAAAAAATATAACAACCAGATTGATGTCCCTGGCATTATTCCAGTTATGCTCTTAAATGACATGTTTATACAGCTTTAAAATAAAATACAATGAATAAGTTCACTTCGTACATGTCATACCGTGTTTGTATCTTAATAGTGTAACATGTCCGTCCTCGTCCACGTATTGTTATTCATGTCTTACATTGCCAATTTACAATGCGTTTCTTTTATATTGCATCACAAATGTAATCTCATCGGCAGAAAAACAATTTTTTTCTTTTAATATTAATTATATCGTAAAGAACATGAAATATATTCTTGACGCACAGTTTCTCCTTTGCAAAACTACAAAATAACTTTAAAGAACTTCATCCATTAATTTTTCATTTTGCAATTGTATATGGATGAAATAAATTATAAAATTATCAGAATTATTTCGTATCAAAATTTGACAGCTTACATAAAGAGAGACATTTAGATATACATTTGAGGAAGATCTAACAAGTTGATTGGTAAACCTCTAAAAATAAATCTTTGTACAATTTCCTCAATAATAAAATTTCAAAATATTTTCATCAATATTTATTTAAGAATAGCGTGCACAACATAAAATGGCAAAAAACTTTTTCAATATGCTTATATCCTATTTGGTAAGCATTTTATAAATTGGCAACAAGTTCTCGTAAGTACGCACCTTGTTAAAGTATCGTATTGGCAAGGTGGTCACTTACGGGGTTCTTATAATACAGTCCTCCTCTGTCGTATTAATTCATGTCCGTAACTAAAAGTAGGTAATACATATATTTATATATATTTATATATATCTTGCATAATATAGCATGGTACCGTCAAACCTAAATAATAAATACATTTTATACAGTCACAGACCTTTTATACAGAATGTCCAAAATTTAATGTGCTGTACAATTGCAAATACGGTCGGTCTTCTTGATACGCGCGCAAAATTCTGTTCGAAGAACAAAATGTAAACGCATTTTTAAAACATTTATTATTGTAACTTTGACTTTGATGGTCTTAAATAAAAATATTTTTTACAGCAATATAAAATTTTAAACATAATTAGATGAACAATTAAATTTAATGCTTCATACCAGCGAAGAAATCTATTAGAATTTCATAATTCAAGCAATTATATTAAGTGTGTTGCTTCCTTTTTTAAGGGCACTCTGTATAGAATAGCCTTAAAATTACAAAATACGTATTTACAGTAAAAAAGTTTAATTGGTCATGTTCCTACCTAATGTAGTAAGGGTGTGAGTAACGCGTTGCGTAATGTTGTCCGTGTTGGCTACGTTGTCGCGTACTTCAGTCGTTAGTGTCTTGCCAGTTGTGCAAGTTTTTCGTAATTCTGAGTCAGTCATACGTCGTTTGAGGTATAGGTCTACCCCAATAGTAAATCGTCCTGATCATTGTTTCCGTACTTATCTGTTTCTACTTAAGTACTAAGATGTTTACTTTGTTAATTTCAATAAACTAAAAGTTTCATACTAAATACGGTTTATGTTATGAGTTCGAATTACGTACCTACACGAATTGTTTCAAAGCTTAAAAAAATAAAAGCATTGTTACAATTTGACATAGGTTCGTGAGAAACACAATTGCATTTTTTTTTTTGTTTTTGTAGTAAACTTAGAACGATGCGTATGATGTAGCTAAAATAATAAGAGAAAACCACTTAAAATAACTGCGTATAAACATTTTACTCATCTTTATCGTCGAGCAAAAAATTGATCACTTCAAGATTTTTCTTTACTGATATTCCTGTTCGATACAAACGAATTCAAAGTATATGTATATAAATATACCACTTTTCTGCATTTGACCGATTCTTTTTTTGTTTTTTTGTGTTTTTTTTTTTCATTTCTGAGATTGTCTCTTTCACGAGGAATAGTTGAAAACGTAACGAACGAAACAAGATTGAACCAGGTGATACATTCGTAGGTTCGATTAGAACTAATCGATTAAAAGTCAAAGCCTTGGACTGGTAGCTGGGATGAATCGGGCGCTCTGAATTGAAATTGTTGTCCTTGCGCATCAATGGTGGGTACGACTCGCGTATCCTCTTCTTCGGAACCGAAGTATCGTTCGATTATATCGAAGGCCTTCTGATAGATTTCTATATTTTGGTGAGATTGCAAAAACTCTATTTTGTTTAGGCCTAAAACATCCCAATATCATTTTATGGTGAACCTGTTTCATGAAAATTTGAGCCAAGCGTTTTATCTCCTCTGAATTTTTACTTACCGAAACATTCTTCGATTAATACCGCATAGTGATTGATTCCATTATTCGCGGCAGCGTCTTGTTCTCCTAGACGCAAAATATTTTCTAAACCATTCAATGCTACTTGAACAATTTTAGGATCCATTACTGTTAATAAATCGCATAACGGTGGAATGCATCTTTCTGTAACAAGATAACGTATTTGTTCAGGTGAACCACCGCTCGTAGCGTTAGTGATCGCCCATGCCGCTTCTTTCCGGGTCTTGAATTCGGCTTTTGCCAAAATATCAATTAAGACGGGGAATATGCCGGCATCAATGACAGCCTGTTCAAAAGAAATCCATCTGTGTTTTTAATAAGAACACATTTCATCGCTAAAAAGTATGCTTTTACGAAGCATATACGAACTTGAATTTGCTGAGGATTTCCTGCTGTGATGTTAGAGATTGTCCAGCAAGCTTCTTTGCGAATTGTTTCTCGCGGTGCATTTAATAAATGATACAAACATTGTAGCGCAGAACAGTTCAAAACGATTTGCGTTTGTACATCGTCACCTGTAACTATATTACCCACTGCTCGAAGAGCAGCACTGATAACATTGTGCTGCTGATGCCTAAAATTTGTTGTTTTTCATTATTGTAATGCGTTTAAATTGAATCACAGATGTAACTCATAAATGCACCTACATGAGTAATTCTACCAGACGCCTACATACACCTGCATCGATGACCGACTGAATTTTTTCGTTCGGTCCATCGCTTAAGTAGGAAAGAGCCCAACAAGCATCGGCAAGAACGTCGCTATCGTTATGGTTAAGAAGATGAGCTAAAACTGGTAAACAAGGTGCGACTTTTGCGAAATCCGGTGTTGGAGATTTTCCTCGACAAAGGTTCGATAATGCCCATACCGCGTTGCGTGTCATCGACAAGCGCGTTGCTTTAGAAAGAATTCTGAAATGAAAAAGAAATTAATTTTGAGGTATTTGAATGAAATCTAGAAAATGATGAATTGTGCAAAAACTTACTGCAAGAGAGGAGGCAGAATTCCATTTTCTAACACGTGATCTCTACATGCAGGACTATCTCCTGCAATATTGCCCAATGCCCAAACTGCTTGTTCCTGAACATCTTCATATTCGGAACTAAGTAATGATATAAAGATGGGTATAGCTCCCGCCTTTATCACTACATGCGTTTGTTCAGATGTTCCACTCGCAATATTTGTTAAAGCCCAAGCAGCTTCAAACTGAAATGATTACAGATATTTTATATCTATTACATGTTACATGTAAAAGTATATTGTACATTTTGGGAGCAATCTTTGATCTATTAACCTGCAGAGTGCAGTTTGAATTATCCTGTAAAAATTCAACGAATTTAGGTACAATCCCTGTCTCTACAACTTCCTCTATTGGTGGATTTGGTTCCCTAGACAACATTTTCCTAAACTTCTGTGTAGCTGCCAATTGATCTTCTGGGTTAGGACTATATAATTCGTCCACCATTTCAACTATTATGGGAGGAATTTTCTGTAAAATAAAAGAAAATATTTTACATTACAATTTTATGATTATAAACATTTTTAGTTCAATGTGTAAGTCCTTTAGCATTATTATTTTCATATTCACGAGTCTGACTTTACCGATTGTGGTGCAGGAAACGCAGATTCATCTGTTCCAACAGTGTCATCATCAGCAACCATATTAGGAACATTGCGTCTCTTTGATAATTGCTGCTCCCTTTTCTGTTTCCTTAACTGAACACCTTCCTCTTCTCTACGCCGTCTTAACTCCTGTGAGTCCAAGCCCACATTTTTGTAACGGTATTTATGTGTTGTTGCGGCTGACATCTAAAAGTTAGATAAACAGAAGGATATTAATGTTACAATTAAATCATTATTATGTTAATGTTGTTAGATGAACTATAAATTTTGATTATCAAATATTTAATGAAAACATATTAAAAATGCTTCATCTATTCCTCAAAAATTAGCTGACATTTATCTTAAAAAATTCACATTTATTATGTAACACTGTCAATTCCTCTACATAAGCAGAATCACATGTAAAGTATTAA